AACATTTCGATCATGGATTACAAAAAAAAAAACAAACATTTGGATCATAGATTACAAAACATTCGATCATGGATTACAAAAAATTCTATCATGGGTTACAAAAATAAAAAATAAAAAATAAAATTCGATCATGGATTACAAGAAAAAAAAACAAACATTTCGATCATGGATTACAAAAAATTCGATCATGGATTACAAAAAATTCTATCATGGGTTACAAAAAAAAAAAAGAACAAAGATTACAAAAAACAAAAAAAAACAATTTGATCATGGATTACAAAAAAATCAATCAAGTATTACAAAACATTCGATCATGGATTACAAAAAAAAAAAAAAAAATTCTGTTCTTCACAAAGCCATTTTACATAAGCGATTTTAACTCAAAAATCCACCTCTAAGTGAATAAATTACATCCAATTGAGTATATTTTCTGATAAACAAAAATATAAGGAATCAAAACCCTAAATTTTTAACACATTATTTCTAATATATCATGAAAACAAAATCAAAAGGCGGAAAAAAAAAAAAACAGCGAAATTTTGGTTCCGCAGACGTCTCAGTGTTCATCTCAAATTTCATGCTGTAATTGACCAGATTACGTAAAATTGAAAATTTTAAATCATACTAGACACAATAAAGATTAAAAACCCTAATTATTGAACTCATTATGTTCCAAATATGCCGTAAAATAAATCAAATGGCGAAAAAAAAAAAACCCAAACTTCTTACCTGATTTTGTGAACCGAAGCCTTCAATCTCCAAAAAACTCTGTTTTTCTAAACGATTATCACAAATTAGTAACAAAAAATTTTGATTCACAGCTTTACGATCAAAATGCCTACAAATTTTGAAAGATTCATACCCTATTTGGCATGAAACTTTCAGAAAAGGCGGAAACCCTAAAAAAACAAGTTTCGTGATCCAAAAACACCAAATTTTTCAACCATTTAATCCTTGAAAAAGCTGAATAAAGCTGTTTACAACCTGCAAATTAGATCACATGCCAAAAAAAACAAGAAAAATGATCAAAAAATGACAAATTTCAAAGAATCCCGTAAAGAATACTGTGCAACCCGTGTTCTTCACGGACTCGCCGATTCCGCACACTGACTCGGCGAGTCACTATACAGAATCATCCGGTTCTCTCTAGAACCGGACGATTTCCGATTTTTTAGTCGATACGATCCCCTTTTTGCGATTTTCGAGTCGAACCGGACTCGTCCGGTTCGACTAGACGTTTTTTAAAACACTGATTCAAAGAGATCATTTACTTTTCATTCTCAAATGTCATAATTACTCTTATCCATCAAATTTCAAATCGAATGGTTGTAAAAATGTCGTTGACTAGACTCAAAATTCAAAAAAAACTTTTTCAAACGTCGTGAAAGGTTTTAAACCATCCAATTTGACATCTAATGACTATGAATAATTGTAACCTGTTTGTAACAAAGATAAATGGTTTCACGATAATAATAATAATAATAATAATGTCTCAAAATACGATATATGTATTTATATATGCTTTGGAGGCCAACAGACATCAGATGTTGTTGATAAGAGTAATTGTAAGCTCTAAACAACATTACAAGATCGAACTAATTTGTATTTGTCAGGCCCTAAAAAAATGTGGATTATTGTCAACTTACTCCCAACCATTGAAGTTTTTACTCTCTCAATCATCTAATCAAATATCAGGCAGTTGAATCTAGTTGTATCTAGACGGTTGTAAATTATGTTTGTAGATACATAGAAAGCTCAGCAAGATAAAAAATGATGCTCAAGGATTGTTCTCCGCATATTGTTAAATCTCAAAATTTTCATTCAAAATATTAGGCCACTTTTCAAAATTTACACCATCTAAAACACAATTTCCTTTCTTTTTTTCAAGACAATTTTAATTCAAGATCCATTGCAATGAACTCCCAATTTTCCCTCGATTCAAATATTTAAAGAAAGGAAAAAGTTTAAAAAACAGAAGATTAAAAAAAAAAAAAGGGTCTCGGAGAAGTCCAAGGAGGATTTGTTTTCCCCAAAAATGGTCAAAAGAACTTCAATATAACAAACCTATACGCTGTGAAGCACTGGGCTCGCATGCTGGTTTTCAGGGAAGCTAAAGTCATGGAGTGGGCCCTGAGAGAAAAACCGGACCTGTTAGCAACTTCAAGAGAGAGAAAGAGAGAGAGTCAGAAGGGGTGGGGGTGGAGAAGGGTGATTTTACCTTGGTGTCATTAATGGCTACTGCCACACAGTAGTGCTCCTAAAAAAGAAAAAAACAAACACCTGATTTCAGCTAAACTGGCATAATTGGGAAGTCTCTCTCTCTCTCTTAGCTGGCATAATTGGGAAGTCTCTCTCTCTCTCTCTTAGCTGGCATAATTGGAAAGTCTCTCTCTCTCTCAACACATGCATAAATACAATGTTCAGTAAATTCAAAGGAATTAAGGTTCCATTAAGGAATTGACAAAAATCTTGATGCCACTTACCACTCATTGAAAATTAGGTTGGATGTGTGTGTGGAGAGAGAGAGAGAGAGATTCTAAAGACCACGTGTGAGCAAGTAAACTTGCCTGCATCATGATCCACTCTTCAAACTCATCGAAAATTTCTAGCCGCTCAATCCTGATACAAGAAAGAGAACTGTGAGAATTACAATGTTTGGTTTTCTCATCCAAAAAGAATCAATAGACCAGTAGTTGAATTATTTAAGCATCCATTCTATCATTTGGGTTTCAAACAGTTTCCTGGCACCTGGCACCCCCTCAAGCATCAGTCTACAAGGAAAGGTCGGAGCTTCTTGTTGCTTTGCTAAAAATCTGCTACAAAACTCGACAGATTTTGAGCAGACTCAGCAGAGGAACGACATACCCAGCCGTCCACTGTTGACATCACACAGTTGAGGAGGTTCCAGAGAATAGCTTGAAACCCACATGATAGCATAATGCACAAGCGCGTCCACAAGATAAACCAATGCAAGTTTTTAATGTAAATGGCAAACCCGACACAGGTTTTAAACATCATATTTTTTTCTTTTTCTTTTTTGGAGTTATTAACACCACTACATTAATGGTCTCTCCCACCCACCCACCCCACCCGACCCCACCCACACACACACACGCACACGCACACATACACAAACAAACACAAAATACTAAAAAAATGCATTTAGACGATTAAGAGCATGCCAGAGAAAATGAAAGAAGGAAAGGAAAAGATAAATGTGAAAACTTCATATGCATCTCTCACCTTCGCATTGTCAAACACAAAGTTAGACCTTTGGAAGGATGCTCTAGAATCTAAAGGTTTTAAAATTAGCGTGACTACGACAGAGTATATGAAATGCAACTTTAGTAATAATATAATTAGAAATGAGGCAGTAGTTAAGATTGACGGCCAAAAAATACCACAAGTAGCGCACTTTCGATATCTTGGGTCAATAATCTAAGAAAATAGAAAGTTAAAATTTCCTCAAAAAAATCTAGGAAAATGGATAGATTGAGGTAAATGTCGTACATAGAATTAAAGTTGGGTGGGCTAAGTGGAGACGTGCAACCAGAGTTTTAAGTGATTGCCGCAAATGCCAATGAAGCTGAAGGAGAAGTTCTATAGAGTAGTTGTGAGTCCAGCTTTACTTTATGGGGTGAAATGTTGGGCGGTCAAGAAACAACATACTCATAGGATGTGTAGTTGAGATGAGGATGTTCAAATGGATGAGTGGCAAGACAAAAAGGGATAGAATTCGAAATAAATACATTCAAGAGAACTTAAGTGTCGCTCCAATAGGCTAAGATGAGATAAAGTAGACTTGGTGGACTAGCCATACACATACCCAATACAATACCTGTTAGGAGATCCGAATTGGTTCAAGTAGAAGGCTCAAAAAGGATAAGGAGTAAGGCCTAAATAGTTGAGAAAAGGCTCTTATGATGATGATAACGATGATTATGATGATCTCTTACCTTCGCCGCTCTTCTGGGTCGATGAAGCTCCCATAAACCTTCTGCATATCCCAAGCAACAGCTTTCTGTAAAAAAAAACCCAAACCAATGAATAAAATATGCCTTTGCTATGGTTTGGATTCTGCTCGTTCTTTTTTTTTACCTTTTTTATTAATGTATGGAATTCTCCTCCTTTAGTGAAAGTTTTTTTTATTCACAAATATATATTAAAAAAAAATTTCAATGGAACAAAAAAGAATACACAAATATGACATCACATGGAATTTGTTTCCAACAAAAATTATCAGATAAAAGGGACACCTGCCAACCATTGTCTGTGAAGAGCTTTTCCTTCGCTTGCAAAGTTGGAGTGGCATAAATCCCCAGTAGAGAACAGCCTCGACTCTGCACACATGATCCAACTCATGTTCCTAACAACTACTATTATGCACACGTATGTGCACATGAGCGCACGTGCACACCCACACACATATAGAGGGGGATGAATGGAGAGAGGGAGGGTACTAGACACATTTGTTGCATGATCATACAATCAAAGTAGCATCATGAGTACACAAGTTTCAGAATATAGAACAACTACCTGAATAAAGGATAACAAAAAGTTGAGAGCATACTGTAAAAATTATCATTCCTACTCATGTAAAGTAAAGATAACAATATTTGATGCTTATACATTAAAACCTGACTTGGAAAACCATGGGAAAGGGAGCCAACCATGTTGAGTTTTAATCCCCAAAAAAACTTCGGAGGAAGCCACCCACATTAGCGTTCTAATCCCATAAGGAAACCAATGGCAAAGGAAATACGGAGAAAGAACCAACACATTTACCAAGATCAGGCAAAATTCAAACTGAAAACTCTCTCTCTCTCTCTCTCTCTCTCTCTCGTGTGGTCGGAGACGGCAACGCGAAGGGCGTAAGG